TATTCAGTAACACACTCCAGAGCAAGAGTACATCTCTTTCACAAGTCACTGCAAGTTTCTAGGTTCACAGTTGAATCAATATGGTTATATTTTAAAAACCTATACTCTACTAAATTTGAAAATCTAAAAGAAATGGATGGACATCTAAAATCATGGGAACCACCAAAGTTAAACCAAGAAGAGATCAACAGTTTAAACAGACCCATAACATATAAGGAAATCAAAACAGTAATATAAAGCCTAACAACTAAAAAAAAGGCAAGGCCCAGATGGTTTTACAGAAGTCTACCAGACATTTAAAGAAGACCTCCAACCAATACTACTTCAATTATTCAAAACGATAGAAACAGATTCTCAAATTCCTTCTATGAAGCCAGCATCACTCTAATACCCAAACCAGCTAAAGACACAAACAAACAAACAAAATAAACAACAACAAAAAAAACCTATAGACCCATATCCCGAATGAACACAGATGCAAAGATGCTCAACAAAATACTTGCAAACCACATACACACAACAAAAAAATCATCTGCCATGATCAAGTAGGCTTTATTCCAGAGATGCAGGGATGTTTAAATATACACAAGTCAATAGATATCATTAATCATATAAATGGACTCAAAGACAAAAACCATGTCATCACCTCAACAGATGCAGAACAGGCTTTTGACAAAATTCAGTATGCATTTATGTTCAAAGTCCTAGAGGGAACTGGAATGAAGGGAACATACTTCAACATAATTAAATCAGTATACAACAAACCCACGGCCAGCATCATTATAAATGCAGAAAAAACTGGAAGTATTCCCACTAAAATCAGGAACCAGACACTGATGTCCACTATCTCCACTCCTTTCCTACATAGTGCTTGAAACTCTTGCTAGAGCAATAAGACAGGAGAAGGAAATTAAAGGAGTACTAATTGGAAAAGAAGAGGTCAAACTATCACTTTTTGCATATGATATGATACTATACCTAAGAGATTCCAAAAGTTCCACAAGAAAACTCCTAGAACTGATCAACACTTCCAGTATAGTGACAGGTTAATATACTACAAAATCAATCTAGAAATATCAGTAGCCTGTCTATATAACAATAACAAGCAATTGGAGAAAGAGTACAGGGAAATGTTTCCATTCACAATTCCTGAAAAAAAAAAAAAAAAAACTTGGGAATAAATCTGACCAAAAACACCAAATATCTCTACAATGAAAATTTTAAATCGTTAAAGAAAGAGATAGAGGAAGACACCAGGAAATGGAAGCACCTCCCATGCTCATGGATTGGAAGACTTAATATTGTGAAAATGACCATCCTATCAAAAGCAATATATAGATTCAATGCAATCCCAATCAAAATCCCCATGACATACTTTACAGAATTAGAAAAGAACAATTCTTAAATTTGTATGGAAGCACAAAAGACCCCGGATAGCCAAAGCAACCCTGAGCACAAAGAGCAGAGCTGGGGGGATTACTATACCAGATCTCAAAGTATACTACAGAGCTATAGTCATAAAAACAGCATGGTACTGGCACAAAAATAGATACATATATCAATGGAATATCATTGAAGACCCAAACCTGAGTACACACAATTTCAGCCACCTGATATTTGACAAAGGTGCCAAGGACACACAATGGAGGAAAGACAGCATCTTCAACAAATGGTGCTGGCAAAATTGGATCTCCACCATAGAAGAATGAAACTAGATCCTTAT